TCATGCCCTTTGAGGACTTTGAGAAGCTCACGACGGGGGATCAAGTGCTGAGGTTTTTCCAGACCCACTTCCCAGATGCCATCCCCCTCATTGGAGAGTAAGTGTTCCCAGCTCCCCTTCCTGCTCATTATTGCAATGCCATAAAGCCAGGGATGCATTCCCACCCAGCCTCAGGGTCCTGGTGATGGAGCCTCTGCTGAAGCTGGTGGGCCAAGGGGTTGAGGATGTTGTTGGGGCAGATCACAAGGGCCCATAGGTCTGCAGAGGGGGGGGTGCCCAGGTGTGAGGGTAGCCCAGCTGTTCAGGCAGCTGAGCTGTGCAAACAGTGAGATGGTAGCTGACAGCCTGAGAAAAGCTGGGCTTGGCAAAAAAAACCCCAACAAACCACTTTGCTGACTAATCCAAGTCTGGCACTTCTTGGTTGCATGGCTATAAGAGGTTTTGGAGCCTCTACATTTTTCCTAGCACAAAAAAAAAAAGGCTTAGTTTTTGCATCCCAGTGCTGACAGTGCCCATGGCCCTGGCTCCCTAAGCTTGGACATGGCACGACTTGTTCTTCTTGTCTCTTGGTGGCCCCACAAGTGAAGTATCTGTTGTTTTGCATGAAGGCGAGAGCTGAAGCACGATTACTTTTTGCTGCCAGCCCAGGCCATGATCTCTGTCAAGTGTTCCTCCTACCACCTGGCTTCCCGCTGCGTCCTGATGGGAGACGCCGCGCACGCTGTCGTGCCCTTCTACGGGCAGGGCATGAATGCAGTAAGTTCATGGCTGGCCCTGGGCTGTGTCACTTGGTCCCCACTCTTTTCCCCTAAGAAAAGCCTGGGGTGTAGCTCCATGAAGTTCTTGGGCTGGCCAGTCTCACAGTCTGATGTCCTCTGCATCGGCAGGTGTTGAACTGGACAGTGGTGCCGCCTTCCCATGGGGTAGAGGGTTGTGTGAGAGGGGGTCCAGCAGGGCAGCCCCAGGCTGCCAGGAATGGCAATGTCCTGGATTTCTCTATGAGACCCCTGGCAGAGTGGCCTGAAAACTCCTGCCCTGAAGCTGTGGTCAAGTGGGACCCTGCAAGTGCAAACAGCTACACGAGCTGAGCATCTGTGAGAGCACTTCTAGTGAATGCATGGCTGCTTCTGCCTATTTACTCTCTAATTTTCCTCCCAGGGCTTTGAGGATTGTCTGGTCTTTGATGAGTTAATGGACCAGTTCCACAATGACCTTGGTGAGTGCAGTGAGGAACATGAGCAGAGGAAGTTCCCTCTGCAGCTGAAGGCAGCTGGATACCTACTGGGGAGCTGCCTGGGACCTGCTGCTTTCTCTTCCTAGGTGCCTGCCTCCCTGAGTTCTCCAGGCTGAGGGTGCCAGATGACCACGCAATCTCGGATTTAGCCATGTACAACTACATAGAGGTAGGTGAGCCCCACACAGGCTTGTGGTTCCATGGGCTGTGCATGTCGTGGCAACTCCCTCAGGATGTGCACGAGGGGCAGGGGCTCTGGCAGGACTCTGGGTGGGATCTCACCCCTGCAGATGTTCGTCTAAGAGCTCCTTGGGAATGTTACTGGGGCTAGGTAGGCTGGACTCCTGCCATGCCCCCGCAGGACAGGCAGTGGGAGAGCTAGCAGAATGCAGGAGAGCTCTGCCAAGGTGCTCAGCAAAAGGGTGATGGTTGCTCTGTCACAGATGCGTGAGCACGTGAATTCAACGTGGTTCATCTTCCGGAAGCACGTGGACAACTTCCTCCACACCCTCATGCCTTCCACCATTGTCCCCTTGTATACCATGGTAAGGCCAGCACCTTGGTCCACACTCCCTGAGCCACCAATGAGCTCCTCCTGGCTGGCTTTGAGGTGGTGATGTGCTCCTGCAACCCTCCCAGGTGACCTTCACCAGGATTCGCTACCATGAGGCGCTTCAGCGCTGGAAGTGGCAGAAAAAGGTTGGTTGGTGGTGGTGCCATGAGCCTGGTGAGCACCCTCCACATCACCAGATATCCCTGGGCAGGGTGGTGCAGGTTTCTCTTTGCACTTGCAGATAATCAATCAAGGGCTCCTTGTGCTGGGGGCAGCAGGACTGGGTGGCACCTGCCTGCTCATAAAGAGGCTGGCACGGGACCTGGACTTCCACGTGGAGAACTTGTGGGGCTGGTCCCGTTATCTGAAGAGTATTGGGAATTTTCCCTTTGGCACACAAATGGCTTAAAAGGAAGGGGGAGCTCCTGGTTGTAATAAAGGTGAATGCACGGGCTGGATGGTGTGGTTTCCGTTGGGATGTGGCGGGGCAGCTCCTGCAGCCCCTGTGGCTCCTGCCCCTCTGGAGTG